TTTTTTTTGGATAAAACTGATCATTTATAAGAGAAAAGAATGTGCAGGATTCGAGGACACATAGTCATCTAATGGATATTGATTCTAGAAGTAACAATTACTTATTTTAAAATGTAGACAAAAATGCCCTTGGAGTGTATCATGACATTTTATTCTTGGTGACAGCATTGAAATATACAAGCATAACAAAGAAGAGAGAATTGCTAGAACATGGGGAACCACAGCTCCCGGATTACCTTATGTTGAGGAGGTAATTACGCCTGCTGGAAATTGGCTCATTGGTGGAGATTTGGAAGTTTTACAGCCTATCAAATATAATGACGGCCTCGACCACTACAGACTTTCTCCGCAACAACTCCGTAAAGAATTTGATAAACGCCAAGCAGATGCGGTTTTTGCTTTTCAGCTAAGGAATCCTGTTCATAATGGTCATGCTTTATTAATGAATGATACTCGCAGGAGACTTCTTGAAAGTGGGTACAAGAATCCAATTCTTTTGCTTCATCCTTTAGGAGGTTTCGTAAAGGCTGATGACGTGCCACTTGATGTTCGTATGGAACAACATAGCAAGGTTTGTTGTTGATAACTTCTGCACATAATTTCTCATATGCTTTTGGCTATGTTAAAACTTATTTCCTCTATGTTTTTGCTAAAATTGTTTGATCTTTTCTAAGTCCTTTTTTGTTGGGTATTTTTGGTTTAAAAACTTACTTTTAAGTCTTTACTTTGAAGAAAGGTACTATCACATTTTTAGGTTTTGCCGAACTTGCTTTTAATTTAAATTATATACTAGATAACAAGGCCCGTAACATAAATGTCAACCTCACGTGCTTGGAAAATATTCCCCAAAGAAATAGAATAAACATAAAACAACTTTAGGACATGTTTAAGGGAATTTTGATTTGAATATGTAAAGAGTTGGTCATAAATTTATTATGCAGTAGAGTGCCTTCTTAGGATAAGATAATGATCTTTTCAAGGGGAGATAAAATTCATTTTTCTCTTTTACATTTCTAAGGTGGATCTTTGGAACTGCAAATTTCTACAGTGAAGATTAAAACAAATATATTCAAGATGTTTTTGGACCCTAAAACAAATCATACTTGCCGTTCAGATTTATATGAGGTTTTCATTCTTGCATAGGTACTAGAAGATGGGGTTCTCGATCCCGAGACTACAATTGTAGCTATTTTTCCCTCACCAATGCTTTATGCTGGACCAACTGAAGTACAATGGCATGCAAAGGCACGGATAAATGCAGGTGCTAATTTCTACATTGTAGGCCGTGATCCTGCTGGAATGGGCCACCCAACAGAAAAGAGGGATTTGTATGATCCGGATCATGGGAAGAAGGTGCTAAGCATGGCTCCAGGTCTGGAGAAATTAAACATCTTGCCATTCAGGGTAGGTAGCCTAATATGCTACTAGGACTTACAATTCATATGTGACTTATCATCATATGTTGCAGTATTTTCTGTATAATTTTAGTAAGATTGGTAGAAATAAGAGCATTTGCCATTTCAACAACGTGAAATATTGAAATGAAAATAACTCTAAATATTGTGCATTAATGAACCTGCATCAGCTGTATGTGCAATTGCAGAAGTTTCTGGCTTCATAGTAGATGAAATGTTCAGTTTGCTCGTAACCAATCCATTGTTCGCTCAAACCATCATTTCATGTCTCTTCTCATATTACCACTTAACATATTGGGCATTTTTGTTACCTACCACTGGACACTGTTATACAGTACTGAACAACTTTTTACTTCTTTTCTTAATGGTCATGTCCATTTCAGCCTAGTCTGGAATACCTAACATACCAATTTTGTGTTGTTGAGTTATGGTGCATGTGTGATATGTGCTACCAATTTGACCAAAAACGTGTTTTACCGAATGGCAACTTTGTTAGTCGAAGGAATTAATTGAATCTTGACAATTGGCATGATGCTGGCCATTTGATGAAATTCTGGATGGTTCCAAGGGTTAGAACCCTTCACTTTTCTTCAGCCGTTTCATTATTGAGTTCATCTGGCTTTGATTTGAGAGAATATTCAACCCTTCATTTAGGGTTTCTCTTTTATTTTTGAAAACCTCATTCGAGATTGAGATCTTCAAATCATCATCTGATTCTAGTGTTTTCTGAGTGAAAAATGTTAAGGGCTTGAGTATTCTTGTGTAGTATAGATCAGATTAGTGGTTTGTGTGAGTTCTTAATGGATTTGGTTATTCAATCTATAGTTTCTGAAAGATCTGTCTATTTTTGGCTTGATCTTTGTATTGTTGAACTATTGTGTAAACTTTGGTTGCCATTTTGGCCATTATAGTGCAATCGAGCATTATCACTTTTAATGGATGCTCAATAGGGGATTAGGTGTTAGAAGCGATCACTGAACTTGTGGGGCTTCAGCCGAATCAATTCTCAGTGTTGTATTTTTTATTTCTGCAAATTTTACTTTCTGCACTATTTCTATTTTGGGTTTGATCGCTTAGAACTTTATTTCTAAGCATTTCATGGGTCTTCAGCACTTGTAAATATAAACTAAGACTCTATCCATGCATATTTTCACACCGAAGTGAGTGAATTGAATGACCTGTTTTAGTCAAAAGAGGTCGTCTAACTTCTTGTCTGGTGTCCGAAGTTTATTAGCACTTGGTTAATCCATTACTTCAATAGTTGATTCCTCGATGCTGATGGTTGATGTGTACTATTTTGACATGGAGCTTCATATAAAGTTTGTACGTTGGAATTATGAGTTCTCTGACTTTTCTCATCAACACTATAATGCAGGTAGCTGCATATGATACTGTAGAAAAGAAGATGGCATTTTTTGACCCTTCACGCGCTAAAGATTTTCTCTTTATATCGGGAACCAAGGTAAGTGTACAATTTTGACTCCATGCTTACCTGTTGCTGCTCTTCTCTTAAAGAAATTTCGAAAGAATGTTGAGTAAATTAAGGCCTTAAATGTCTGTATTCTTTTATAATTCATGATATGTCAGTAAATTATTTTGGTGATGCGCAAACCTCTGCGCGTATTAGAGAGAGAGAGAGAGAGAGAGAGATTGTTGAAAGTTCACATGCTCGAAATTAAGTTTATTGGGAATAATGCTCATCTTATTTGTATCTGTCATGGAAGATACGCCGAACTTTTCATGGTAATCTTGTGTCTACTTTGCAGATGCGAACTTATGCGAGAAACGGTGAAAACCCTCCTGATGGTTTTATGTGTCCTGGAGGATGGCAAGTATTGGTGAAATACTATGAGAGCTTACAGGCTGAGGATTCGCCACAGAAGCAAACTGTTCTATCTGCTTAGATAGGACGATTTTTGAATTAGGATTGTTTCTGTAATTTCAAAGTTTTGCACATGGTTATTCATGAATTAAGGTTTAATTTAGCAGATAGAAATCCTTCGTGTTCTTGGCAAAATTTCTTAATATAAAAATCTAGGATTAAACACAACTGTTTTCTTAAAAGAGAAACATTTTTTTTAGTGAAATTTCTAGGATATTAACTTTTCTTGAATCTTGTATAACTTGATTGAATAGTGAAAAGGTAAGAATCAATCTGCTATGTTCATCTAATTTAGACATGTATAAACATTTCATCAAGTAACTGAATTAGATGGAACAAATAGCAACTTATGTAACGGTTCTCTTCTTTAATCTCGTCTAACAACCAAACATTCGTTTATGACACACTTTGCAAGGTGAATTGTACAATGTTAAAACTTTAGACGAGCAATATTATTTAGCCCTATTGGGTTTATGTCGCCTGGATTGGAATCGCAACCTCGAGTGAGGCTACATAGCATTACTGTAGACAATAATATAGAATTCATATTAAAAAATCTTGTCTATTGAATTGTTCTCAAGCTAGGAATAGGTTCAGTCAAGTGACAATGAATGATAAAAATGACCTGGGAGTTATAGTTGCTTTTTAATTATGTCTTTCTTTTTTATATTGATCTTAAAATTTAATGGACGGTCGATAAATGTAGGGTGAAGAATAACAAAAATATGCTTTTTTTTTGAGATGATAACTGAGAAGGTATAATTAGATAAAGGATTGTGGGGTACAGGGACGTACCCAAACAGTTCGAACTGTGGGGTCAAATTTTTTTTTTTTTTTTTTTTGTAACAACGTCTCATGAATAAAAAGGAAAAATCGGTTGTTTATTGTTCATGTTCGGTATTTGCACTTTGGGAAGAAATTGGTGGATTATACGATATATCTATGGACTAAATAATAGATATGGATCATGTGATATGGATATAGATTTAGAATATGGACATTTTAAGGTCGAAAATTAAGTTTTCAGCAAAAAAAAAAAAAAAATCCAAAAAACTGTGGGGTCGTTTGACCCCATGTGGGTCCGCCCCTGGTGGGGTAGTTGTTAGTGAACAAAGCTTGAACAAAAAATTCACCGTATAATTTTTTATTTGTGAATAAAATTATTTTGGAATACAATTGAAAAATCATTTTATTTTGATCATATCTTCCATAGAATATTTTACACATTTGGATGAAGAGAGAATTTGTCCATACCGTCGGTAAAGGCAAAATAAGCCAGTAGTATTTGCACGTGCACAAATATACATATGATGTTCTTTATTCATTGAAAATAAGAACTTTAAAATATCAGGCGTTAGGTTTTAATATTTTGCTTCGGCAAAATCTAGTTATTAAAATTGAATATGTGTTGAAAGGTTTGAGTTTGTATAGCCCTTGTTTGAGTCTCGTTCTTGTCAAAAAAATGTATTTTTGAACAGTATATTGATGAAAAATATGTAGTTAAAAAATAAAGAAAAATCATGAATGTGAGTATAATATTATTTTATTGAAAAATATGATTGAATTGGGATCAAATCACTGTTGAAAAATATATTTTGATAGAATCAATCAAAAGCTTATTCAATATTTTGCTCCTCATAAAAACCAATTCGCACCACCATTTTGTTCCTTCGCACAAAAGAAAAAAATTTCACAATTACCAATTTATTAACCCAGTAAGTATCAAGTTGGTCTAAACCTTTTAAAAGAAACAAGTTTGCCTCCATAGTTAACCAATCAAAACTTGAAATATTACATCACCGTTTGGTGTAGCTAAAAAAACCAAATTTCAAGTATATTTTTATAAAAATTAATTAAGTCCTTGTTTGAGTTTCATTTTATTCGAAATTCATTTTTATCTTTTTTCTTTTTAAAAACACATTTTTAAATAAAATAATATTATATGTGAATCCAAAATTTTTTCTTATTTTTAACTATTCATTCTCCAATAAATCACTATTTCAAAATACCTTCCTATTTTTAAATGTATAGTTGAAAAGTTGATAAAAATTATGAATCCCATAAAATATATGATTAAAATTAATTATTAACTTCGATTTAGATTTTTATCGGAATTTTGATTCAAATTAAACATGAGCTAAATATTAGCTAAATTGTTGTATGAATCTTGTGTAGAGAAGTAGAATATATTTCAAAATAATTTATAAGATTTATGTTATTGGAGGTTGATTATGTAACTATAATAAACATTTGGGACCAAAAATGAAATTTTGCAGATACTTCAAAGTTAAGCGAACCCGTAAACATTACAAGGTTAAGAGTCGAAGTTTTCCTCCCCCTTTTCCTCTCCCGCCACGAATTTTCCTTCCTTCGCAATACCGGGAAAACAAATTTCCCTTCCTCACACGTATCGCTCGATCAAATCGGATTCCGTTTTTCAAACAATGTGGTGAACTCGATCGACAGGAAAATTCCGTTCTTCTCTTCAAATCAGATTCCTTTTCACACAAAAATTCCACTCCCACAAGGATTCAATTTTATCTCTGTTAATTTTGATCTCCACGGACCAAAAATTAGGGTTTATCTTCTTTTTTTTTCCTTTAAATTTCTTTTTTTCCCCTCATTTTGAAACCCTAGGTATATAATTTTTGTTTTATAATTAATTACTTTGAAATTCGTTGATTCTTTTGTATACAAGAGTTTTTTCGTTGATGGATTAGATTTGCAGCTGACAATATATTTAGGGTTCTGTACAAGAAAAACTCAGTGAAATTTTTGGTGCTTTGTTTTAGTTTGTCATTAAAAATTGAGGGTTTTCTTGTTTGAACGAGAAAAGTACCAAAAAAAAAAAAAGAAGAAGAAGAAGAAGACAAATCTAGGGTTTTTCTATAGAGCATATTACTGTTGTCATTGTTTTATTTGGGTATATCTGGAAAAGAGAGAAAATATATAAAATCTTGGGGTTTCTGAGATGGCCTTGAATTATTCACACTGGCCAAAATTCCCTGCGCACATTGGTGAAGATAGTTTGGTATCTCCCATGAGAATTGTGAACGGTGTTCCAGTGATGAGTGGGGAAGGTTTTACAAGGACGAACCATGGGAGCCTAGGGGAAACTGAGGAGCATAATTTTAGTTGTGGGAGGGACAGTGATGATAGGTGTAGTACGCCAGATTCAGCGTCCAATGATATTGCAAACCTCTTGCCTTCTGACCCCTTCGGGATGGATATAGAAACTACTTTCACAGCCATCACAGGATGGCTCGAGGATTTAGATGTCAATTATGGAGGATATGTGAGGAACAACAATTGTGCATCCAATCAAGATGACTATGATCGGTTTGCGGGGTGGAATTTGATTTGGAAAAATGCCTTAAAATTTCAATCTCTGTCAAGCAATGTTCACTTTGACGAGAAACTGAATATAGGTATCCAATCTCTTGTAAGAAATCTTCAGGGAGAGGAGAATCTGAACAGGTGTATCCACTCATTTCCAGACAATGCTCATTTCAGTGAGAAATTGAGTGTGGGCAATGAGTTGAGTCCTTATAGTGAGGAGAGAGATATGGGGGGTGCATTGGCCCAATATGTTAGCAGCTCTGAGGTGCAATTTAAAGAGAAAGGAGAGGGTGTTGACAGTTGTGCCAAGGAGAAAGTACCCCATGAAGCTTTGGCCTTTACTCTTAGTTATCTGGGAATCAAGGACCTTCTGTCTGTTGAAAGGGTTTGCAGGTCTTTATGTTCCACAGTCCAAGATGATCCCTTGTTGTGGAGGACTATCCACATTGATCAGCCACTCAACGAGAGGATCACAGATGATGTGCTGCTGCAATTGGCTCGCAGATCTCAAGGTAGTCTCCAATGCCTGAGCTTGGTGGAATGTCCGAGGATCACAGATGATGGTTTGAGGCGTGTACTTGAAACTCATCCCCAGTTGACTAAGGTCAGTAGCTCCACCATTGTCTAATATTGCTTTCCGTTGCAATTTTAATTCTTAAGTTGATTTATTTGCGATCAGACTATTGATGATATGATGTAGTTCTACTAGAATGATACAGAATTCCTTATTCATCACAATTTTTTTTCTGGCATTTCAATCATTTGACCCCGTTTAAAATGTGTTTGTAACTACACCAATGCCTACTTTTAATGAACATTTATGATTTCTAGCCATTTTATGGGGGTCGTATGCTCTGTTGTGAGTTGTCACCGTCTGGTTGGGTGGTGTACTAGTGACTATAAGTGTAGGATAGCAAATAGAATTGAAGAAATAGTGTTTGTATAACATGTGATGATGAAGATAACATAGGGCCTGGGTTCAAGTTTGTGTCTTGCATTAAATGAATCCGGCCTGGGCCTGAGGGTGTGTGTTTGAAGATGGCATTTATGTTAACTTGTCTTCTCCTTTAATATTTTAAGCTCGTAAATGATGCTCTTAACAATATTGACAGTGAAAACTGGCTAAGCAAAATTTGGAGTCTAAATTTTAAGCATTTGCATTTTTATTTTTATTTTTTATTTTTGTTAAATAGCAGGTGCATTATTTTCTTTCAAAAAATCATTTGATAGGGTGATGTAGGTCGGTAGCAGTGACCATCGATGAAATGTGAACAGATGCTTGCGAATCTGTTTCATTGCATGCAATTTCCAGCACACATTAATTATGCTCAAGATTGGATAATATACATTTCTTTGACTTTGTGTAATTGAACATTTAATTGGATCATAATCATTATTTTTCTTCCGGCACATGTCAGTGTCACTGCAGCTAGTTAAGTGGGAATGAGGACAACATAGTGCTTGTCGGAGAGCGTGTCCCACTAGTTTAAATTTCATCCTGTTTCAATATTTATAGGAGCTCTAAGTGGTGTTATGCATCCTTTTAATTACTATGGGAGCATAGAACCTTCAATCAATAGTCAGGATTTACATATCCGTCGCCGGAACTTAATAGTTGAAGGGTTCCTTGATTTTAAGCTTAAAAGGGTGGTTTCTGGTTCAATGATTTTTAAATTAGACTTGTGGCCTGGCACTTTTGATTGTGCCCGTGTATTGTTTATTGCCTTTAGTGGTAGAGGATGCTTTTTAGAAGTAATATTTGTAAAGTATGCCATTTAGAAATTGTGATGGAAAAGAATTATGATTTAATAATTGTAAGAGCTTGAAACACATTTATTTATTTAAACTGTCCTCTAAGATAGAATTTCAAAAAGTGGTGTAGGAAGGGGTGTTTTATGGTTTAGATAACAACTATTAGTCAAGGATGTTTTCTATAATAATATGTTAAAGAGTTTTATGCTCTCAAGAATATAGAAATTGGTAAACCTGAAAATAGTTTCAAATACTTGTTACCCAATTTAGTGTTCAAATGAAACTACAATGAACTTGCTTTCTTAATTTACGATAAGACGCAAGTCATCTCCATTGTAGTTTGTTCTCATTTGTTAATATCATAGATTAAGAATCTAACCCATTGCGATGATATTTTCATCGATGGATTAATTTACGATTAATGTTGGAATTGTGGATGTTCTTGTCACACGTCACTTCCCTTCCTTTTACTTGAAGCGGTCTATAGTGGATACTTTTAAGTAGTTGTAGCACCAGTTATGCTCTTAGTTATGTTCTTACTTTCTGGTGAACTGCAAGATACTGATTTTCTACATCGTTTTTACGTTACACAAGTTGCTAAGTTTTATTATGTTCTGCAGCTGTGTGTTCCTGGATGTACAAGGCTTACTATTCAAGGTATTCTAAATAATCTCAAGGTGTTCAACTCTGATAAAGGTGTCCAAGGTATAAAGCACCTGAGAATTGGTGGGATATATGGGGTGACACGTGAACATTTTGAAGAGTTCAAGCTATTACTTGGTGCTGATAATGACAAGCTCCGAAATCATCACAAACCACACTTCTATTGTCGGGGGAATTTTTATATTCTGTGTGATGATGATCGTGCGATTGATATTGAAATGTGCCCAAGATGTGAAAAACTGAGGCTCATTTATGACTGCACAGCCAAGGGCTGTCAAGTTGAAGATCATGCTGCGCAAGTCTGCAGGGCGTGTACACTCTGTATATCAAGATGTGTGCAGTGTGGCCGGTGTTTTAACAACACTGAATATGAAGAAAATTTCTGTTTGGAATTGATCTGCTCAGGCTGTTATAAGCAGCTGGATAGCTACTGAGATAAACTGGACAAAATGTTGATCTTCCAAGGAAGGCACTGCCCACGTGCCTAAGTTCTAATAACAGCCTTCGATGGCAGGGGATGTTGCTTATCCATTTAGGTCAGATGTCTGCCTCTAGGAGATGAAAGTCTGGAAAGACCATCTGATCTTGCAGTTCCAGAGTGTGATATTTATGGAACAGGAAGGGAAAAAAAGGAGGGAAAAAAAAATGTAAAGAAGAAAACGCAAAAAGAAAAGTGAAAAATGGAAAAGAAAATGCGGAGTATGCTTTCTCAAAACTATAGGATAATCATGACAATGTCAAATCATGTACTCTTCAAGCATATTTTGTTCTCAACAAACTGTATTTTATCATCAATAGGTTTGTCATTGGTGCTTCTGATAGTCGCATCCTCGCTTCCAAGTGCCGGCCATCAATTTATTTGGTGCCAGTGATTGGACGATACAAGTCTTGAAGCTCTTGTCTCATAGAATCTGAGATGTTTGAGGATATGATCTCGTTTTGAACATTGAAAGATCTGTTGGAATTAGAAGTATTTTGCAGGATCTTTCCTGCTTTGATCTGTATCAAGGGATGTCTAAGAATCGTTTCAGATGGAGAGGACTGTTTCTTTGCAGCCCGTTGGTGCATTCTGTATGCCGTTATTTTCTGATTTGATTGTTAAAATGACATTATACTATATTTGCTTGCTGAATGAGGCGTGTAAACTCTATTTTCTTGGTTATACTTTCATGCTTATAGGTGATGATTTGCCAAAGGGAGATTATATATTTGTCCTGTCTACCTGGTTTGAGTACTGATTAAAGAAAGGATAGGAAGTTCAGAACATTATACCCAAGATGCCTTTAAGAGTTCTCCTAGCCAGATTGTAAATGCCTGCAGCCGTTGTTTAGACATTGATTTCAATCTCAACCGAAGAAATTCTTTCATGATAATTGCTTAATTACTCAAAAGCTTAAGGGGGTGTTTGGGAGTGATTTTTCATCCAAAAAAATTGATTTTTTGATCGTTATTTCATTATTTCAGTAGCAATTTTTTACTTCTTCTCTTACATGTGACTCCCACTTTTCTCCTAATTTTCAAAAAATCAATTTTCAAAATTCCTATCGAACAGGGCCTAAAATTAACATTAGCTTGACCAAAATATTGTAAAACGAATAGGAGAATGTTTGTGCAAACGAGTATGATTCGTTAGACTTTGCCCCCAAATACATTGTGTAATTAATTATCCATTGTATAAATTTTGAAAACACAACATTTTACATTATCTATTCAATCAAATAAAAAATATTCAGCTTAGGTCATAAATTTGCAGGATCTATAAACATAGCTAGGGGATTTACAGATTTCATCTTTGACCTGTTACGAAATAAGAAGAGCGCATAATGTTAATGTTGAAGCATATATAAATTACAAAAGAACACTACAGAGGCTAATTCATCTTCGACCTGTTACAGAGTCTCAAAGGGGCTTCCGAACGAAGAAATTCTCGTTATTTTTGAGATTTCTTGCAGAGATTTTTCACCCATTTCAGGCTCAATATCTTCTTTCCCGACTTACTTTTTTCATCTTTTTTCTTCTTCTTGTCATCCTCCGATGCAGGTGGCAGAGGTTCCGGTCCCCACTGATCTGCCCATGAAAGCCCCTCGGAGCCATATATGTCCATGTTCTTGTTTTCTTTTTTAGTCCCTTGGCATTCCCAGACAAGAATTCCTGCAAAAAGAGCCCGATAAATTTGTCTTGATCGATATGCATCTTTGCTATATATGGCTATTTTCTATAGTTAGCCAATGGATTTAGTTCACCTGCTCAACCGGCTATTTTGTGACAGCCTTTCATCCATTGTCTTTGGCTTTCTTTCACAATCTCAAAAGTCCAATTCTTGGAGAAAATATAGCGACAAACTGAACAGTTTTGAATCAAATGAACTGAGAGGTATTTCAAGTCAAAACTATATTCAACTCGCACGGATAATTCAAACAATTTCATTGACTATTTGGCCATCTTGATACTACTTTTTAGTTTTTACAGCTTGTTTCTTCTTTAATAATGCACATTACCATGGAAGAACTTCTTGTTCTCCTATGATGTTCTTATTTGTTTAATTAACAATTGTAATAGAGTTTTGCTGGGGTGTCAGTGTTGGGAAATTAAATTCACAACCAGGGTTGGAGAAGAAACAATGCAAAAATTTAATTAAGAGGATGAAAAAACGAATCAAGATCATGACGAAAATGGAAGGTTCAAACATGACATTACATCGTTGTCCTCAAACGATATTTGCCCCCTCTTGATATTAATGTTGGTGCTTAAAGGATCTCGCGGCAAACGATTTGAAGGATTGATCAAACTTTGATGTAGAGAAACACAAAAGCACAAGTATTTCTCCACCCGAACTTGAAGAACATAAAGGGAATATATGAATGTGAAGGAAGAAATGATTTTTCTTTCTTGTGGAATGATGACAGATTACCATATATTTTGTAATCTGATTTCCATGTGTTTTTTATGTCTAATAAACACATATTTATAGCCATGAATCATAGCTTCACGAAATGGTGTCAAAATAAGATGAAAAGTGACAACTTTTAATCCAAAACGGCTCCCAAGTTTCAAATTGATAAATCAGTCAACGGCTATTTTCTAACACTATGCGTACGCATAGTAGAAGTAAAATCAATTCTGATTTTGCCAAAGCACGTTTCGCGTACGCACAAAAATAAGCCTGTAAGTACACATAGGCAAAAATCAAATTTTTCATTTTTCAATTTCTTTTGATTCTACCAATTCCAAAATTGAGTCCAATATCATTCCATTGATTTTGAACAAATATTCAACAGTCAGAGTAGAGGTTTACAAAACTCTTACCGACTACCTATAACAGGAGGTGGGTGGTTATGGGTAATTTTTTATACAGTAGGGGTTGTCTAATTTAGTAGAATCAATATAACTGATCTAGTTATTGGTTAGTCTAAGTTGAACGTAAAGTCTGTATACTCCATCCGTCTCAATTATATAGGCTTGTTTCGTTTTTCACAAGGATTAAGAAATCTTATTTAATGTCATTAGAAAATTAATTTTTGCCATGATCTTTCCTAATTTATCCATATTTAATTTTCAGTATGTAGTAGTAAATTATTGTTGAAATTAACAAAGAATTTGAATTATTTAATTTGAAGAAGAAGAAATTAGGCACCGTTTGATTGGCAATTTATTTCCATGGAAAATGGAATTTGAATAGCATTTTCCAATGTTAGTGCGTTTGATTGGGATTTATTTTTCATGAAATAGGAATTCTTGGATTTCTTGGTAATTGCACTTTTCTTGCTTTTGTGGGAAAATCGGTTACTATTGACTTTTTTTTTTCAATGAAAATAAATTCTAAGAATTATTGTAAAAAAAATATTTCTCTTTAATTGACAATTTTTATATAAAACAAAATCAAACGAACACCAAAAGATAGATGATTTTTTTTATTTATTATTGTTATTTTTTTATTTTGGCAATGAAAATAAATTTCATCCCCAATACCAGTAAATTCAATCCCTTTAATTGACAATTTTCATGTAAAATAAAATCAAACAAATACCAAAAAATACTTTTATTTCAACATTTTTCACATGGAAAATTATACCAATTAAACACAATAATTTACAATTCTCAGGAAAACAATTTCTAGTTAATTCAATTCCCTGGAGTTCGTTTTCTTTCCACCCAAATTTCATCTTTGCAATCAAACGAGCCCTTAGAGTTGTTCCATGTTTCCAAGAAGTGGGAATGTGTGTATTTGGATGATTTCATGAAATTGGCATATTAAGTAGGAAAAATTGAATAAGGATATATTGGTAGAGGAACAAAACAAAACATTTTAAATTAGGAAACAGACTTATATATTTGGGATAAGAGAAAAAGGAAACTCAGCCTATATATTTGGGACGGACAGAGAATTTTGTTATATAGCAAGATGTAAATTTTTCAAAGACAATAGTGATGTATGTTTCGTATAGGATTGACCTTTCCAAGCAGCTTGTTGATGAGATGCAGAGATGGCGCAGATTTTTTATTTTTGGGATTAACAGCCGAATGGAGCATATCATACGATGGGAGGTTTTAACAGTAGAAGTGGGGAATATTTTGCACAAAAAAGATAGGTAACTACACTCTTCAAATCGATAAATTTACTCTTTAAAACTTACCGAGCACGTCAAGTACACAAATGATTTATTTTAACTTGCAATTTCATTTTCATCACAATTATTGACATTTTTTTTTAATTATTTATTATTTATTATTTATTATTTTTCCCTTTCTTATCTAATCCTCTGGCTTTGTACTCATATATACCACAGACGGACCTATGGCCTTTTGTTTGGTTTGTTGTCGTATTTGAAGAATGAAGGACTTTTGAGGAAATTTCTTGAGGACGAAGGAGAGTAAAAAGCTGGCGTTAAAGCTGACAAAACCTTTTACACCAAAGACGGCTTTTTTGTCACGGCATGGCTGGACATGTTCGAGGGAGTAAAATGGTTACCAGAGTGTCGATAGTATGAATGAGCTCTGAGCAGGAATGGTATACCGTGGTTTCAACTAATGGTCGAATGAAGTTGAATAATGCGAAAGTTACGACGCGGCAAAAGGTGTTATAGCTACTAAAATTAAGCTCTGTAAAATTAAGCGAAGATTTGGACCGACTAATGTTGAAGAAGGAACAGACAAGTTATTGTTTAGTGAAAACGTTCCTTTTCAAAGGGTACTTTCATTAAGAAAAAGTACGTCATAAGAACTTTCATTAAGAAAACTTCTGCATATAGAAATTAGAAGTTGAGATCCTGTCTAGGATTAAAGTGGAATTTTGGGTGTAATAAAATTGTTAATTCTGTTCATTACTATGTTATTTATAAATTTACTCATATGCACAGCAAGTGGATCCGTGGCGCAATGGTAGCGCGTCTGACTCCAGATCAGAAGGTTGCGTGTTCGATTCACGTCGGGTTCAATTCCCATTTTTTATTTATGTTTCTCCTTCTACTTCATATCTGGGCTTTTTTATTTCCGGCCCAGTAATCATAAGCCCGTTCGTTGTCTCTCTCATGGAAGCCCACCAATCAGAAGCCCTAATTACACACAACCTTGCGAGGATCTCCAAGTGAACGAATGAAGCACTTTGAGTTTATGGAATGAATATTATCGAGACAAAAGAATTCTTTTTCTATCAAAATGTAAAATATTTGTTCTCATCAAGCAAATCAATCGGCTGAATTTTCAATCATCCCATCCAATTCAAGAAGGAGACTTCAGAGAAAGACTTAAATTTGGATTATTTTGAAACATTAGTGTAAAAGCTAGGCAATATGGTTAATAACGCTTTAATTACCGTAAAACTATATCAATTAAAGTAAAAAGAAAACAAATCATGCTATAAACAAAAAAACAGTTCTCGATATCCACTTCCAAACCCTAATTGAGCTAAAGAAAACAAATAAATCAGAGGAACTTTGCTATTTGTACACTGATTTTTGACATTTTGTTTGAAACTTGTATTGTTGTCAAGTGTCAATTGGATGAAAAAACTGTTTGAAATTTAAATTGTCCAATAGAGTAGTGACACGTAACAAAGTATAAACTAAAATATACATCGCAGTGTACATGTAGCAAGGTTCAAATCGGAAATTGAAGAGATACAAATCAAGCCTCCACAATTTCAGAATCTACTTGGTGAATGGCTGGTTCTCCCCAATTAGAATAGGTAGATTAAATCCTTCCCTTAGAACCGTACTTGGGAGTTTCCTAATTCATACGACTCAAAAAACTTATGAATTTTAAATATTGAATTATTCAGTAAGGGGTTTATAGATTTGAGATTTTAGGATTTTGCCTTTTGTAAATGCTTAATTAAGTAAAACTTGTGAATTTTGTTTTCATTTTTCAATTTTGTTTCAAATTATATGCAATTTTATTTCTTATTTTGAGATGAGCTTATTTTAAAATTCTTCTTTTTTTTGCTATTTGTTATGCATTAAAAAGAGTGACATAAATGTGTCAAGTTTTAATTGTTAAATAAAAAAAAAGGACAAAATTCAAATTTTATAAGATCTAATTCTAGAGTAGTTGAAAATATTGCTTTCTTAATCGTTGTCTCAATCTTAGTTCCAAGATCCACTCTTATTCTTAGTTCCAAGCAACACTCTAATTTGAAAAGTCTTCCCAAACGGGTTTTTTGGATCATTAGGATTTATTTGATAGAACTTCTATTTTTACTTTTACTTATCGTAGAAGAGCTTTTAGCCTGAAATAAAAACATTTCCAAAAGTATATACAAGGAGAAAATGAGAGGAAATGGGGGGAAAAAGAAAGCATGGTCTGAATTTTTTGCAATTCCACATACAACTGAAATACAACGTGAATCAATGATTCACTTCACTGAATCAAAATGTGAATCAATTATTCACTGAAAAAGGCATTCAAAGAGTGAACACACAAATTTTGCTCCTTCCTTTATGCCTCATCCCATTCATCATTCTTGTATGATACCAAAGTGTCAACTTTGTGTATCTGCACAAGTAAATCAGGAAATTTGTTAACAATGATCATCTAAAATATGATAATCGTCTTGATTTCGACTCAGAATTCAGTGCATGAAGTCAAAAAGAGATGGAAAATCGAAGGACGATAAGGATAGTAAGTGAACCCCAAAATTAGGCTGCAGATTTTACCTTAGTATCAAAGGAGTGCAATTTCACCATCTGTGGGTTGGCTATCAGTTTAGGGTCACTCTCAACCCAAGTAAATGGGACTGCCACATCTGTGTCTGTGTAGGCTAACACATCAAAAACACCTGCAATGCACAACAACCAAATTAATTATAGAATCGACAATAATAATACAATGGTGGTGGATGTTGCTCGAAAATTAACATCACAAATATCGAGCCCCCAGTGTTGTCAGGGACCTAGAAGAAAAGTAATAGAATCGAATCAATACATCGCGAATATCAAGCCCCTATTGTAAGATCACTTAGAAAGAATAATACACGATGGATTGGCTCAAAAATGAACATCACAAATATCGAGCCCCTAATGTTGTTGGTCAGGGACCGAGAAGAAGAGCACCGAATCAAGACATCACTAATATCGAGCCCCTATTGTTGGTGGTTGGGCACCAAGATCTAGATCACTCAAAAAGAACAATACGTGATGGATTTTGCTAGAAAATGGACATCACAAATATCAGGCCCCTAATGGTGGTGCTTAGGCACCGAGATTAAGAGAACTCAAAGTTGGTACTTGGGCACCGAGAAAAGAAGCACGCAAAAAGAATATACTATGGATGTTGCTCGGAAATTAACATCATGAATATTGAGCCCCGTAATGTTGGTTAACATCACAAATATCGAGACCCTAATGTTGGTGGTCCGGCACCGAGAACAAGAGCGCTCCAAATGAGATCATTGGATGAGCCCAAGCACATATGTGAATTTTCGAGCAACATCAAATGACAATAACAATCCCTTTACATTAATCTAACAAATTCTTACAGGGTTCATCAAGACATGGCAAATATGTAATGCTGGATGCTATCTGTCTCATAATTGCTTGAATTTCTCTCATAATTTCTTTATCACTTTTCTCTCTTGAAACTCTGCATGACAAAAATAAAATTTTACAGATATTCAAACCAATGAACAATTTTCACAACCCAGGAATATTTTACTCAGAAACTAATTATAAGTTGATTAAATTAAATTACCCCTTTTCGACAACTTCCTTATCCGTCTCAATACTAAAATTCCACCTCTCTAAAACCTCACCACTGGCCTTGCTCATGATTACCAGAACTACCCTCTGCAGCTTCCCAGATTCCAGCCACTCTTCATCAAATTCAAATATAACTTTTAAGGAATATGAACTGAAATAAAGTATAGACGAGAAAGAGGACAAATTCTATACTAATTACACAATCAAACTGTTACAAATATAATATCACAAAAAACGCATGAATATTCAAACATACCAGAAAGCTGTGCATTTAAGTTGGAAATGAATGATTTGACACCTTCATCTTGAGTAAGCAGCATTGGAAGTCCATATTTCTTGACTTTTGCAAAACTTTCTTCGGGGTAAACTGCACGGTTGTACAAAATACTGAAAAAAAAAATTCAAATTCAATTTGAATCCCTCGACCATGAACTACATTCAAAATGAACAAAATAACAATAATAATTAACGAATCTTGGATTATAACCTGTTTGCAGCATAACCTGAAAAGGGGTTCCATTAAATAAAAAATTAGTCCACATTCTTGAAAACCCACAAAATAAATTTAAAAGAAAATGACAATAAGAGAGACAGACCGAAGAATTCACTGACTATGGCGGCCGATCCGCGAAGAGTGATTATGTCTTTTGTGGCAGTTCTTGAAGCCATGGATACGCTTTGAAGACTGCGGGATATGGGATTTGATTCAGGGATAAAAGCAATTAATTAAATCTTGTGGGATTTTAACGATAGAGGATAACGATTTTATGTTGGGAATGTTGGTGGAATATGAAGAGATGGATTTACGGTTTTGATAAAATGAAAGAACAGCGGCAACGGCTAGTTTTTTTGTTGGATTTCTTAGTGGGTTTGTTAACGGTCGAATTGTTTGAAAATTTGTGCATTATATTATTTTGAGTAAATTCCACCAAAGGTTCCTCAACTTTTTTTAGTGTGGCGCCTATGCTCCCTACTTTTTAAAATTGTGCATCCATGTTTCAGTTAATGGAAAATATTTATTTGAACTTTAACGGCCACGTGAATTCAAGTGACGTGGGGGTGACAGTATTGCACCTTTAGAAAGGAAATCACATTTAGGACAATTATTTCAAAGAAAGAATCAAATGCTAAATTTCTATGTTACTTATTGAAGCAAGAATCTTGAGAAATTTCAAACAGCTCTTTGTCCGTGAATATATTTTCTTCTAATTTATCTAGTTCATGTGCAATCTACCCGTGATTGCTATACAGCTCTTTGTCCGATTCTATTTCCATTTCTTGATTCTAACTCGTCTCATGTGTCATTGAAGGAAAACTACCGATGAAAGCATGAGAAAAGACCAATTCAACTTGAGACATTAATGGTTTTGCTTACAAGTAGCGAGTAGTAAAATTATTCCAAAAACTTTCATTCTCCAAAAAAATAAAAAAAACGAAGACTAGTAAAATTTCTTAGGATCCGTTTGATAGGGTGGAATTGGATTTTCTAACTTTAGGTGTTTGATACATTTTTTTTTCCATGACATTCAAATCCTTGATTTTCTTGAACTTTGGAATTTTCTTGGTTTTTAGAGAAAACTAATTCCCATTATATGGTGGGAATTGGTTTTCCCACGTATTGTAGCTTATTTATTTTATTTTTTTCATTTTTTTTATGTGTCAATGTAAAGAAATTTTATCCCTGATTGTAAAAAATCATTTTCCTTTAATCGACAATTTTCATGTAAAATAAAGTCAAACAAACGTCAAAAGATAGATAATTTTTTTGGCTTTTTTTTGGCAATGGAAACAAATTATATCCTCAATACTAGTAAATTACATCCCTTTAATTGACAATTTTCATATAAAATAGAGCCAAATGAACACCAAAAAATATTTTCATTTCAACATTTTTCATGTGAAAAAATATATCAATTAAACACAATAATTTACAATTACCAGGAAAATAATTCTAGGCAATTCAATTCCCTGAAATTCACTTTCTAGATAATTCGATTCTATTTTTACAATCAAACGGACCATAGTTAATATTCATAAAATTTATCACTCTTCTTCGACAATTCCAACATCATTTGGATGTCATGTGGCTACTTGACGTCCTTTTGGGTAGGTGGTGACACGGATGCAGCAAACTGTAGTTTCGGATTATCGTGTTGTGTACTATATCATAGGCTTAAGGTTGCAAAGACTCTCACGCACAGGTGTCGTGGTGTAGTTGGTTATCACGTCAGTCTAACACACTGAAGGTCTCCGGTTCGAGTCCGGGCGACGCCATTTCTTGTTTTCTTTCTCTTATATATTTTTAAAAATATTTTGTGCACTTTTAATGGGCCTATCTGTACCAGAAAAAGGGCCCACTAACGTTGACACCTGGTCTGCAGATTATAGAGGCTGTTTAGGAGTGATTTTGAAAATTGATTTTTTGACCGTCAGAAAAAAAGTGGGGTCCACCCGTGAGCGAAGAAGTCAAATATGACGATTGAAAAAATGAAATAATAATCAAAAAATCAATTTTTTGGGTGAAAAAATCGGGCCCAAACAGGCCAAAACTGTGAAGTGTGACATCATATTTCACGGGAGAGTATCAAATAAAATGCATGTACATCACTTCCTATCTACTTTTTCAAATCATACAGAATTTTAAAAAGAAAAAACAAAAAAAATGAAAGTCAACGCTCGTTGACTAAAGTATTTCTATTCATAAAATTATAGAGAAAATTGAAAATAATTCAATCAATTTCATGCTCTAACGTGTTTCATTGAGATTTTTTCGAGACATTGAAATAAACCCACCGATAATTCTAAAATAATATTATTTGATGTTTTTTGTTCATTTGCATTTTTTTTTCAAACTTGTTGAATGACAATGGATTAGTTTTTGTAATAATACTAGCTAAGTTGTACATGTATATAGAGCCTGTTTGTGAGTGATTTTGAAAATTGATTTCTTATTCGTTAGCAGAAAAGTGGGGTCCATCCGTGAGAGAATAAGTCAAATACGACAGCTGAAATAATAAAATAATGGTCGAAAAAGGGTAATTAGCACAAAACATCCTTACCTTTCAATATTTTTGTAGAAAACGTCCTCACCTTTCATTTTTTGGCAGATTATACCATCACCTTTACCTTTTTTTGCTCAAAACGTCATTCTATCAACTCTCCGTTAAAATATTCCGTTAAATCAAAAGGTAATTAGCACAAAAGGTCCCTACCTTTCAATATTATTGTGCAAAACGTCTCTACCTTTCATTTTTTAGCATTTTTACCCCCACCTTTCACCTTTCATTGCGAAAAAGGTCATTCTCATTCATTTTTTCAATAAAATGACGATTTTACCCTCATATTCAAATAAAACAAAAAGAAAAGAAAAGAAAAATAAATAATTAATTGTAATTATAGTCCTAAATCTTTTAAAACATTACAGATAAATTCTAAACTTTCCACTACCACCACTTTCATAACCCCACTAAGCCACCACCTATAGATCCATATAGCACTACCTTTCGACCACAACACCTATCGGACTCCACCACCACTACCAGCCTCACCTCACTCTTTCCAATATCCTCCTCCATAGTAGGGGTCACCAATCTGTCTAAAACAACCACATTTACGGTGACAGAGTCTGGTGGGAATGGTGGTAGAAAGGTGGTATTATGTTGATTTATAGTTGGCAGCTTGATAGGTTGTGAAAGTGGTAGTGGTTGGGAATTTATGATTTCTTTGTAATTTTTTAAAAATTTAAGGACTATGGTTGCAGTTGGTTATTTATCTTTTCTTTTTGTTTTATTTGAATAGGAGGGTAAAATCGTCATTTTATTGAAAAAATGGATGAAAATGACTTTTTTCGTAATGAAATGTGAAAATGCTAAAAAATTAAAGGTATGGACGTTTTGTACAATAACATTGAAAGGTAAGGACGTTTTGCACAATAATATTGAAAGGTATAGACCTTTTGTGCTAATTACCTTTGATTTAACGGAACATTTTAATGGGGATTTGGCAGAAGAACGTTTTGCGCAAAAAAAGGTAAATGTGAGAGTGTAATTCGCCAAAAAACGAAAGGTATGAACGTTTTCCACAAAAAAACATCGAAAGGTATGGACGTTTTGTGCTAATTATCCGTCAAAAAATCAATTTTTTGGGAGAAAAAATCGCTCCCAAACAGACCCATAATATTCTTAGTTCATGAAAATTATTCTTCAATCATTGACTAATATCAATTTATAAATTCCACAATATTATTAACCAATATATTTGTATGCATAAGCTATATTTGGACCGACCATAGAATTTGATGAGTAAGTATCCATTTGCATGAAGGGGTCAATGTGAAGAGATTTGTAGAATTATGCAAGATTTGGACTTCACTACAATTTTCCTCGATCGATTATTGGAAATTGATTGATGAGATTTACAGAAAAAGCTAATTACCTTATATAGATTCAACGTTTGGTGACAAAATTTCTAACCAAATCATTACTATTAGTAGTTGTAACATTGAGATCATAATTTCGACTCTACGAAAAAATGTTAATTACTCTTAAATAAAAAGTTGAAAAAGTCGAAAAAGAAAAAAAAATGCATTTAAAAGTTGGAAGTAGAGAGGCAAGAAGCATGTGTTGGAGAAGTGCAATCAAGCCATGGATCACGTTCCAATTTCACATGTCCATACAATAAAGCTCCAATTTATTTTTATTTCTTTGCTTTTGTTTCTAATGTTTATTCTTCTTTAATATTATTGGAGGATCAAAACATCTTTTTAACAACAATTTAACATAAATAGGGATTGGAAGAAAATGTAAAAGAAGTTGATGAAAGATGAGAATTTTATTAATTGCATCATATTTTAATTATATTGAAGTTCTTAATTTTATTGCTTATATTCTTTAACTTTTTATGTATTTTATTCCCATTATTCAATTAATTATCACATTTTGTCTTTAATTCCTTCAGAAAAACTCGTTTAGAGGGCATAAAATAGCTTGTTTGCCCATCATATATTTTAAAGATACAATAAATACAAAACGATGACAAAATTATTTTTCTCTAATTTCAAAGCATATAATAGAGTATTTTGACATAAATCATCGTCGAGAATGGAACATGCTAACTAATAGAAGGTCGAAAAATAATAATTTATTGAAAAATTAGGATTATGAGTATTACAATGAACAAAGATAATAAAATCTTAAATATAATTAAAATATAGAGTAATAATAATTCGTACATGAATAACATTATCGGTTAGCTAGAGTTCAAATAAAAATATATATGGTAATCCAAATAAAAATTTGCAATATGGCCTTCAATTTTCACCATAGCCATGTGTGTATTCCATTCTGTTTTGTATTAATAATAAAAAAAAACATACATTTTTTTCTCAACTTGATTCTTAATTACATATTCTCAAAATAAATAATTTTACACAGAATTCAAAATTTTTCTTTATTTTTTATTTTGACATTATTCAAAAATCACTATTGTACAATCTATTCTCTTGAAAGAAAATGATAGTATAGTTATATTGCTACTAAATCTCGTTTGTTTCTCATTTTTTTAAAAATGAAAATAAAAAATATAGTTGTTACGAACTCCACATAAGAGATAGAAATTCAAATTTGGAGGCTTAATATGATGAAAAACGATTATATTTTTTATTTTTTAATGAGGAAAAAATGGAAACCGAGCAAGGGCTAAATAAGGAAACAAATTATCCAATAAGTAATTATTATTGATTACCTTGTAAACTCCGAACGTTCCTCAAAAAATGAAAAGCAATTCCCATCGGCCATTCCGAGTAATCTCAAATCAGTTGACTCATCCAGTTTTGTTAAAAACAGTAGGAATCAAATGGTAATATTCTAAGATTCCAATACTAAAATCTACCCACCGGTTTTCACCAAAACCGTTTTTAGTCCCCCTTAAATAATCCCTCCGATCTCTCATTTTTTTCCACACTAACTGCCTTTCATCACTCTCTGTCACTCTATAAAAAAATTCTTTTGCATTTTCTCTATATTCAAAGAAATGGGGAAGATCAAGATCGGAATCAATGGTTTGATTTCTCTCTTTTTTTCTTTTTTTTTTTATTGGCTTTTCTTGAAATGCCTGTCAGTTAATTAGCAATGATTTTTTTTTTAAAGCTTTTTCTGCGATTTAAAAATCGATTTTTGAATATATCTATCAATGATTGAATGTTTTAGTGTTTTTTCCTGTTGATTTTTTATTTTTTTTGGGTTTTCTTGAAAAAAAAGGGGTCTGTTATTCTCTACATTGTTTATAATTAGCAAGTGCCTTTTTCTTTTTTTCGTTTCTGTGTGATTTTGTGAAATAGGTTTTGCCTGTATCTAGCAAAGATCCGATCTTTTGTGTTTTTTATTTAATATTTTATCAGGATTTGGAAGAATCGGTCGATTGGTTGCAAGAGTTGCTTTGCAAAGGGATGATATTGAGCTTGTTGCTGTTAATGATCCATTCATCACAACTGATTACATGGTATTTCACCCCTCATATTTGTACACAACTGTCTATTTGGCATGACTTTTGAAAAGTTAGCTTTTGGATTTACGGATCCAAATGTATATTTGGCATGGCTTTTGGAAAGTTACGAGTTTCGGATCCAAAAGCTGCTATTGGATCTGTGTGGCTAATTTTATAGTATAGCTTTTGATAGTTAGAAGAGTTTTTAGAGTAAGTTGGTGTAACGTCACTTATTTTATAAGAACCATACTGCATGTACACTTTAGTTTATACTTTATAACGTGCCATTAATCTATTGAATGGTTTAAATTTCAAACAACTTTTTCATCCAATTGACACTTGACAACAATGCAAGTGTCAATCAAATGTCAAGAATTAGTGTACAATTAACAAATTTTATTCTAGAAGCACTTTAAAAATTAGGTAGCTTCCTCTAAAACTCTCAAAATAAAAGCCACACCAAATGGCCCGCTTAATCGGGTACTTATTAGCTATGTGACAAGAGGTGTAAGTCCCAAATGCAATCAAATAAGTCTTGAGAGTATGTTTGGCAAAGTTTCTTTAAGGTTATAAGTTAGTTAAACATAGTTTTTATTTACACATTTTGTAAGCTTTGATAGTATGACAAGAGTCTCACATGAGGCAGAAGTCGAGGAGTAAGTCTCAAGTAGCTTTTTCGAATAACATGCTTATTAATTGATTTGTTTGATGTGAAAAATATGCAGACATATATGTTCAAGTATGACAGTGTGCACGGCCACTGGAAGCACCATGAGGTTAAATTGAAAGATGAAAAGACACTTCTCTTCGGTGATAACCCAGTCAAAGTCTTTGGGTTCAGGTAGAACTTTCCCACATTATTGAAGTTTAAAGAAGAGATAATTAAATTTAATATCTCAAGCAGAGTGGACAAAGATCGTGAGTTAAAGTCTGGTTCCATTGATTTATGAAAATTGAAATAACATTTGATTTTTTAATGAAATTATATATCTTTGAAGGTCAAATTTAAATAAATAAACGAGTTCCTTAGATGAGGTGGTTCGATATAATACACTAGACTAGTTAAGATGTGTTTGGCATACGTTATTGGACATCAGTACAATGGATACAATTTTAATTAGTATTTCTTTTTGGAAACTTGTTATTATAGTGTGTTTGATTGTAGAGTTTGCCATTTTTAGGAATCCGGAGGAGATTCCGTGGGCTGAAGCTGGTGCTGAGTTTGTTGTCGAGTCTACTGGTGTCTTTACGGACAAGGACAAGGCTGCTGCCCATTTGAAGGTCGTCTATCGTGCTCTTTTTCTTTTAGATTGAATTGTCTTTGTGTATCAGTTTTATTACTTTGTACTTGGTTTGCGATGGCTTTTTAAATTGCTATAGGTCATGTTTTACTTCAGTTTTTCCCTGGCGATGGCTTTTTAAATTGCTATACAGTTCAATGTAAGGGCTATTATTTCTGCAATTTGCTAAAAATGATGCTAATCTGAAATTCTAGGCAAGGATATGTCTTCATGGTCGATAATATATCAATCACAATGCTCTTTTGGATCAGATCACCATTAGTTTACTAGGGATCGTGATTTTGTATTCAATCACTTATTGACTTCTTTCTTGTGAAGATTATGAATTGTTTCACCTGATGTATCTTTTGCTGATCTAACAAAATCAGGGCGGTGCTAAGAAGGTCGTCATCTCTGCTCCAAGCAAGGACGCTCCCATGTTTGTTGTGGGCGTGAATGAGAAGGAATACAAGCACGAGCTAAACATTGTCTCCAATGCTAGCTGCACCACAAACTGTCTCGCTCCATTGGCCAAGGTTTTGTTGGCATTATGTTGTTTCTTGCACGTTATAAATTTTTGTACTTATTTTCCGATGCTTAACTTTTAATTGGTTCAAAATCTGTCAGGTTATTAACGATAGGTTCGGTATTGTGGAGGGTTTAATGACCACAGTCCACTCCATTACTGGTGAGTGGCTTTCGTTATTTATTGTATCAACTAAAATATGAGTTGTGAGGTTCGGTTTTGACTCTCTCGTCTTACTTTTGCAATATATGATATCGTAGCCACTCAAAAGACTGTCGATGGTCCATCAAGCAAGGATTGGAGAGGTGGAAGAGCCGCCTCATTCAATATTATTCCTAGCAGCACTGGAGCTGCCAAGGTAACGTTTTGTTTCTAACTTTTACTATTTCTGCTAATACAATAATGACAAACTAACATATAGATTTTGTGGTCAGTTTTATGAATTCTAGTAGGGAACTTTCCGAATGAAACTTGTATTAGAATTCACGCAAACTTACTTTCAGAATGAAACTTGTATTAGAATTCACGCAAACTTTTACTCGAATATGTCTGTCCTAAATATCTTTGTACTTCAAAAGAACAAGGTTGATTCGATTATTTTTCCTTCCCATTAACTCGAGTTATTTACGTGTTGTCGTCAGGCTGTTGGTAAAGTTCTTCCGTCCCTGAACGGGAAGTTGACCGGGATGGCATTCCGAGTCCCTACTGTTGATGTCTCAGTGGTGGACCTCACTGTAAGACTAGAGAAAGAAGCCACCTATGATGAAATCAAAGCTGCTATCAAGTGAGTTCTTTTCTTCTGATGTTATGCTATGCTCGAAGGATTAATCCATTTACAATAAAATGAACAAGCTTGGTTCAATAAATTCGTGGACTGAAATTTATTTGCTCATTTTTTCTCAGGGAGGAGTCAGAGAACAAGCTCAAGGGTATCTTGGGTTATACTGAAGACGATGTGGTGTCCACGGACTTTGTAGGTGATAGCAGGTAAAAATTAAAATTGTTAATTTCGAACCTTACGGTTTATATCTAATCAATGCGATGAGATTACGACCCAACATTGTTCTAATTCAGGTCAAGCATTTTTGATGCCAAGGCCGGGATTGCTTTGAGCAAAAACTTCGTTAAACTTGTCTCCTGGTACGACAATGAATGGGGATACAGGTAAAAATCTATCTTTCTCCGGTTCAATTCTTCCAAACTTGTGCTAATCTTGAAATTTCTTGATCTTTTCCTCCGCCTGCGTATAGTCGTGCTAACATCAATACGGTTTTCCGTTGCAGTTCTCGTGTTATCGATTTGATCCGCCACATGGCTTCTGTTAAAGCTTGAAGCTCTGAACAAGCTTTAAAGAAAGTTTTTCCTTTGTGGAGTCTGGAGGTTGTAGTTGTTTTAGTTGATGTTGAATAAAATCTAGATGCATCTGTACTGAGGCTCTGGTCAAGTTTGTCTATTTACTCGAGTCATTGTGAAACAAAATTTCTCTTGTGAAGTGAGAATGAAATTTTTCTTGAAAATCTTCCCGTCTGAGTTTGTGTGTTTCATGGGATTTTTCATGGCAAGGATGAATGGTTCTTTGTTGGATTCTTGGCTCCGTCTTCTGAGGCTCCTTATTCATGGAAATTCCTCAAATTTTTACAATTGAAAATTTGAAAATTTTCCCCATTGTTTTTCTTTTTAAAAATTATTATTTTTTAAATAATAAAAACAGAACTCAACCCAAAGACTACTAAATTCATTCAACACTTTATTTATTTATTTATTTATTATTATTATTATTATTATTATTATTATTATTATTATTATTATTATTATTATTTCACCTTTTTCCTCCCCTTTTTTCTTCCTAATATTGAAAAGAAATTTGAAGTCTTGCATTTCTTGCAATGAAATCACTACAACCTTGAGTGATTCCTTTTTCTCTGAATATGGGAAAATAATAAGGTGGGTGTCCTCAACTAAGATTTTGATGAATTTTAAAAAATTATAAATCCTAATAAATTTTGTGAATATGAATAGATTTTCACAAATTCAATAAAAATCTTGAAATTTCAATATATATTTTTAAGTTTGAAATTCATTCTTTTTTTTTTTTTTTTAATTTCTCTATTTATAAAATATTTTTAAATTCACTAATTATTGAGGAAACCTAGGTTTTAAAGGATTTCATTGTATTTCATTAAAATTTCAATTGGGAACATTTGAATTTTAACGATTTTCATTAAAATTCATTAATATCTAAATTGAAAATACCTAAATTTAAAAGAATTTTTAAAATTCATCACAATCTTAATTGAGGACACCCTCCTAAAGATACTTAAATCTTGGATTTCATGCAATGAAATCACTAAAACCTTAAGTCTCATTGGTATTTAAAGTTAGTCTATGATATCGAGATTATTGTTTAATATGCATAATACTTTTATTAGATAATATGTCAGTGATCCAAATTCAATAATGTTAAGTATCAATGATATTAAATAACGTTATTTTTAAAAACCCAAATCATTATCATGGTTATTTTTTTTTTTTTCCTCTCTGCTTTACAATACTATTATTTATTATTCAACAATGCCTTCAAAATTTATGCTAAATTAACCTTTTCTTCTGTAATCTAATGCTTTAGAGGATTATTATTATTTATATCAATTTGTTTAAAAGTTGAATTAGAATTATAGTGAAATTGTTGTTATATGTTTGCCAAGTTTAGCGTATAACATATATGATTTTTCTGTTTTGGGTTTGATTTCTGTTTTTGGTTGTTTTTCAAATTTTGACCAACTTGTCACTATTGAGATGGGAATTCTTGTTGAATTAGCTAAGGGAAAACTTTCGGGCTATATTGTCATAAAATTATTCACAAAATTTCAAAACAAACTGGTAATTATTGATAAATTCAGTAACAATTTACTTACTAATTTACCCGTGGATAAAGAGAACAGAAAATGCCAAAAAGTCAAATTATCGTGTGAACTTTTAGTAAGAATTTATTTATTATTATTATTATTATTATTTTTTTTTTTTTGGCTGTTTTGCCAGTCAAGAAATCTGCTCTCTAGGATTTTGGCTTTGATTATACGAATTTATTGTCATCTTTAATTTGACCTATTATAATGGAATTGCTTTAAAATATTTTAATATTTGCCCTTTACGTAGTCATTTACCACAATTAATGTCATAGATAGGTCTAGTAGTTAAGAGTGCGTTTGATTTGTCATTTTGAGATTATTTTCAATTTTTGATTTTAAAAAACACTCAAAATGTGTTTGGTATGTTATTTAAAAAAAATGTGTTTTTGAAAATAAGGGAAATTTTACAACACAGAACTCGAAATGACTTTTAGACGTTTTGAGTGTTTTCAAAAATTCAAAGTAACGAAAATGAATTTAAAATTTTTTCAAATTAGAATAATTAATAAAATCACACAACTTACCCAAATACAAACACCCATCTCCCAAACTCCTCCAAAATATTATAAAACTATTTCTAAATTTTTTAAACCAAATGCATTTTCTAATTTTTTGTTTTGAAAAACAGTTTTTTAGAATAACAAACCAAACGCATTTTCTGCAATTTTAAAATAATCCCTCAAACAGAAAAATTGAAAATGAATTCAAAACTGAAAATAGAAAACGGAATCACAAATCAAACGTACCCTAAAATTTTCAGTATTTTGGGAAGAAAATCTTTATCACATTAAGTTTAGAATTTCTTCATTTTTGGGGGGTACGCGGGAAAATTGGGAAAATTTCCCCAAAATATTTGCCCCTTATTTCAACCCACATTAGTAAAATATCCGGAGAAAACTGTGATCAAGGAAAATATATGATAATTTAATTTAACGTTAATGATAATAATTTTTGAGAAAAAATTGGAGACAGTTTCAAAAATGACAAAAAAAATTAGGAACTTATATCTTAATTAAAATGTATAGCAAATAGGAGAATATAATTAGGCTAATAATATTATCACCACAATATTTATTTATTACACAACATTTTAAAAAATGTTGTAAAATAATGAGATAATTATTGATTATTATTCAGTGCTATCTTGATGTATAAATAAGTTTTATCTAGTCTAAAAGATCTATTTCATTCCAATTGTAACTCTTATTTTGAACCCTATAAATATGGGTCCTAATTCTCAATAAAAGACACAATTAAATTTTGATTCTTATATTTTCTTCTCATTTTCTTTATTTTCATAACACGTTATCAGTACAAATTGCAATGATTTTAGTGCTTCCTGTCAATGTCCTAATTTTGATCATAAATTTTTATTCTTGTGTCTATTCCAATTCCTTTTGTCTCTCCTTCCCATTGTAAATACGCAGCCCAACTCCTCGACTTTTCGCGCTAATAAAAATATATTAAGATATCAATTTTAAACATTATGCATTAGTATTTCAACAAGGAAAATTCTGTTTGTACATAATTATTGCACATAATGATGTCCATAATGTGATGTGACAATCATCCAGTTGTTAATGTGCAAGTGTAAGATTTAAATTAAAAATTGGATCCAATGCCAGATGTAATTATAAACACCATTATGTAAACAATTATGTACATATAACACTTCCCATTTCAACAATTTGATACTCAGCAACAACGGAGGTAGTGCAATGGTGATTTCAGTTGGAGGGAATAGATGTTGACATTGCAATGAACACATATTTTTCTACTAATTAAATTGGGTGGCTGCTTATTTGGACAGACAAAAGAAGTTGACTATATGGGTTTTGTCCAATAGTATAAGCCTCTCAAATAATATCATTGGTGTCCTTTGCAGGTGGAATTGGTTGGCTATAGATCTTGCTTGGAGATGGAGGAAGATCGCCCAGCACGAGGCCATAACGTTGTCGAACAAAACATGAAACTGCAAAGGCATGGCTGGTATATATTTGTGCATATCTAATCACCATATTGAATCGTTCTTATTATTCTTAATACGAGTATATTTTATGAGTTTAACACTCGTATATTTATCTATTATAAAATATTGATGTTTTTAAAGTAACACAAAATTATTTACAAATATTTTAATTAGATTTTACTTGCTCCCGAAGAGCATAATTAAATAAAATCTAATATAAATTATGTTTTTACATCTGAAAAGTAAATTCTTATACAATTTATTATTTCAAACAATAATATGTTGTTGCTTTTGAAGAGTATAACATTCTGATTTCAATATTGCGGAAAAATGTTACTCGTAGATCTGTCTATTAAAAATATTTTGTTGTTCTTAAAATAGCACAACATTATAATTAATCAATAAGATAGTTATTGTACAAATAATCATCAAAGAGGGAGTGTTGTAAAATAATGAGATAATTATTTATGATTATTTAATATTATCATGATACATAAATAGGTCTTATCTAATCTAAAAGATCTATTTCATTTTAATTGTAACTCTTATTTTGAACCCTATAAGTATGGGTCTTTATTCTTAATAAAAGACACAATTGAGTTTATACTATATTCTTCTCTTTTTCTCTCTTTTCATAACAAAAACCCCCCAATTGAAATATATTTTCAATAAATACACCACATTAATTTACAAATATAACAATAACCCTATTAAAAAGCAATAATAAAAAAGTGAAGCACAACACACCTATATATATATATATATATATATATATATATATATATATATATATAGTGTGTGTGTGTGTGTGTGTAATTATATTATAATTACAATATGTATAAAAATAAAATGTGGAGGTAGATAAGAAATGTTCAATTTATCATTTTGTCCTTATATAATATTGTCAATATTTTCATTCAAAAATTATAAATTCCACGTTTAATTATTTAATAGTTTATAGTATAACTATTTAATTTACAAATGACGATAAATTAAAAAAAAAAAAAAGGTACTTAAATGTGATCAATAGTTAGGATACAAAGAATCGATGATGGGAGAAATTATCCATCAATCTTAAAAACCTTCCTAATTACTTGTAATAATTAGAAGTTACTTATACTTCTCATATTTTTATCCACACACTAAATACAAGCTTTGTATCTCAATTACACATTTTCATCCAACTTTTTAAGTATTAATAAAAATTAATATTATGTGTCCTAAAAAATAATTAATATAGTATTGGGTATTTATTATTGCGTGTTCATTTTTGCATGAGCATAAAAATTGATAGTAATCTTGTTACTTATTATATATAAATATATAAACAAAAGAAAAAGACTTTTATCTCGGTACATTTAGATGAAGAATTTTTATTCCTCCATTTTTATTAATCCCATTCAAAAGAAAATGAAAACTTTTGTTTCAAATTTTTCGTTTCGATATCTATTTTGAATGTAACTTTGGTTTCTAATTTAAAATAAATGCTATGGATTAATATGACGAGCATGATTAATATGTAATTTTTTGTTTTTAGGTAATATACTTATTTTGTTTTTATTTTTTAGGTAAAAAAGTTTATGATTTGACAAAATGAGTAATTTTTTAATTTGAAAATTATTTATGTACCTTCAGTTTACTTATACGTAAACGTTTGAAACTTAATCAAATGCACATCTTTTAAATTGATTTTTCTTCGCATCTGTCTGTACCACAAAATTGGTCAATGTCGTCGACTCGTCGTTATAGTTGAAAATAGGGGGTCCAACCAAAGTCTAATATAAACAAATCATTACATTTCAATTTATTCAACATTTTCACTTTATGTACGCAATTTTCATAAAACTTTTATTTATATGTATATTCTTTAACAATGTTAATTTTTTTCTTTTAACATTAACAACTGCTTTACTTTAAAAATATTACTCATATCATTTATTCCGCACATAAGACGTGAAACGCACTTGCTTACTACTAGTTACAGATATATGGAGCATTTGTAAGGTTTATGGAGTAATTATTCAGAATTATTACATGTGATTTATGTTACCAACAATTATAGATTTGAAGAAAAATAAATAACAATAATAAAAGGAAAAAGGAAAAATGAAAATTATTTGTTCAAATAGAAAATGAAATTGTTCCTCCTACTTATAAATTTGACACACTTATTTGACAAATAATTGTGGCATTTAATTTAAATCAATCCAAAGCAAAGAATTAAGTGGTTATTTAAGGCATTTTATTAATCTGTTTTGTGTAAATCAAAAAATATTTAAAATATGGTGCAACAAAAACTTCCAATAATTATATTCACACCATATTTTTTATTAGTTTCAATTAAGGTGCTCAAACTTTGCTCATTGTATTGCTTGTGTATCTAATTTTTTATCGATGCATTCTTATTTTCAACGTTCCATTAATTAATATATCTTATCTCTAATAATGGTACTTGTTCAAGATTTATTCATCCATCATATCTTTAATATAACAATAATTGTTGATGGACGATAAAATATTTTTCTTCATTTCAAAAGACATAAACCATGATAAAGAACGAGAGTGCTAATTATTGGAGGGTTGGAAAAAATCACTAAAAAATACAATGAGAAAAGGTTGAAAACCTTAAGTGCAATTAAGATATAGTACAATAATAAAATTACGGTGTAAATGCAAATACCCAAAAAAATTTGGAGTACTCGTCATGCCGTCATAGAAGGGTGATTATTTTCACACCACATTTAGAAGCGAACATTCTTAACAATGAAACATATGAAAACAAATCTTCATAACAAAATGCAGGATGACTTTCTTGTAGAATATATGACGCTTCATCAAAGGAGAACTTGCTATGAAGATAAATATAGATTTTATTGTAAATAAATTCTATGTTTCATTAATAACTTTTAATGTTATACATGAATTCATTATATTGACTTTCTTAAATATCAGCCTTTACATCCTAAATTTTTGAATCTAACTTTTTTTGGGAAATTTTGGTGTTATGTGCATGGTTTTATTTTTTTCCCCATATTGGAAAATTTTAGCAGAAACATTTAAACAAAGAAAATTAGGTTGGAAATCATTCCAATAAATATGGACAACAAAAATACCTTATAATTTAGTTTGGTAGAGAGTAACGAACAGCCTTGCATCTTTTCAAGATACCCCCACATGAAGTGACCGACTTCACAAAATTTGTTATATGTTTAACGTTGTTAAAATTTTATTACATGTTTGGTCCACACGTTAATATTTTATCCATTGTACAGTTCAATTCGAACTAATATTCTATATATAAAAAAAAAAGGTACCCACAAAAGGGTTTAGAGTTCTAACGAAATTAGGAATTTCTTTATCATCCTACTTTATTCAAATTAGGATTTTCTTTATTATCCTTCTCAGGCAATGTTTAATGGAAGTCCATCACTATAAATACTACCATGCTTTGTATACTATGAGATAAACTTTCATTGGGTGGACGTAGCCATTGTCAAATAAGGTAAAAATATTTTGTCTCTTTCTTACGATCTCGATACGATATTAGTTCTTTGAAAATATGGTACTCAAATTGTCAAATATCTTGTTGTACTTCTTCTAATCGAGTCAAGTTTGAAACCCAGTAGATATATATGATTTTCATATCATTAAACATTAAATTTTACAAGGTGTCTTCAACTAAGATTATAATAGATTTTAAGATATTATAAATTTTAGTGAATTTTGTGGATTTGAATGGATTTCCACAATTTTCACAATAATTTCATTAAAAATTGTGAAAATTCAAAATTTTGTTAATACCATATTTTGAACTTGAAATTCATCTATTAATGAAATTCTTATAAATACTTTAAATCCATCTATTAATGAAATTCATTAAAATCTCAAGGACACCTAAACTTTTAATGATTTCATTTAAATCTCAATTTAGGATACCTAAATTTAGAAGAATTCGAAATATCACCCCTTTTGAGGTCAAATTTTGTTAGCCCATAAATGGATTTCCAATAATTTCGGAAGATTCAATGCACGATATTAACTTTCACGAACCCTAAAAAGAACCATAGAATCTGGTTTTTCAATGGCTCAAAATCCTTAGATAAAAATTAGGAAATTGTCTAACGTTGTTAGAGGACATCCTGATTCCTGCGAGCAAATATTCTACGTACATTCGCGAAAATCTGTATGTATATATTGGTTTCATTAATATCAGTTTATTCTTATCGTTCTGTGGTTACAAGATTCTATCAGTTTCTTGTCTATTTCATAGTCCTCTTCGAAATCTTGCTTTCAGGGAGGAAAAAATGGCTTTTCATGAACCACAGAACGATGAGAGAACCGCAGAGCAAAAGGCAATTGATGATTGGCTTCCGATCACTTCTTCTCGGAATGCCAAATGGTGGTATTCGACTTTTCACAACGTCACCGCCATGGTCGGCGCCGGTGTCCTCAGTCTCCCGTACGCCATGTCGGAACTTGGATGGTACGTCATCTCTTCGTCTCCCATGCATTAGAACTTCATATATTGGATTTCCTTTCTTTTTTTTCTTTTTTTTTTTAATCTTTTTACCGAATCTTACAAAAAAATGTGTATTAGGATTCACGATATTGAATTCGATAAAGTTTTTCGCTTACTCACAATTTACCACAACCCTACGAGTCTTTCTTGGAGTAAGCATCTGGAGGTTCGATCATGATATCTTGAGAACCGGGTCGAACCAATCAGTACTTGGAATTTGGTTGGTCACATTGGTTCTAAAGGGGAAAAATGAACCGAAATCGACCAGAGCCAAACTGTCTATTTTATGCTTTAAAAATAAAATTTTAATATAAAATAAAACTGTCTATTCTATTCTCAATGCAGATGAATTTATATAAATTACGATTTAGTTAAGATGTTATAAAAATATATTTTTGGACCTATTTAAAAAATTGGTTTTATAGCTATAATCAACCGATATTCGTATCAGAACCTGACTTTTACGTGAATCGGACTGAACTGACTGGTTTGGTTCAGTTCTAATTTGGGTCGGGGTGGGTTCGGGTAAAAATGTTCGCCCTTTCGTGGAACTAAACAATCTTTCGTCTCACTGCATTAGAAAATTTTCATTCAATTACCGAACTTGAATGCTGTTTTTGATGTAGTAATGAACTGGACAAAATCTCGAATAAGAATTCACATAGCTGATTCCAAATTTATTAAAAATTTCTCGAACTAAAGAATTTCTATCCCTTTGATTTGCAGGGGACCTGGAATTACAATTATGATCCTTTCTTGGCTCATCACCTTCTACACATTATGGCAAATGGTCGAAATGCACGAAATGGTTCCTGGTAAGAGGTTCGACAGGTACCACGAACTAGGCCAACACGCCTTTGGTGAAAAGCTCGGCCTTTGGATCGTTGTACCTCAACAGGTTGTCGTTGAAGTCAGTACTTGCATCGTTTACATGGTTACCGGAGGAAAATCTCTGAAAAAATTCCATGATACAGTCTGTCCAAGTTGCAAGGATATCTCACTCACCCTTTTCATCTTGATCTTTGCTTCCGTTCACTTTGTGATATCCCATCTGCCTAATTTCAACTCGATTTCGGTCATTTCCTTTTCTGCAGCTGTGATGTCTCTAACGTAAGAATCATCGACTACAACCTAGTATTCTTCTTTATGATGATGTTTTATGTTGGGATTCTATTTGTTCTCTATAGCATCATTCCCGAAAGTGACATTCCCTGAACTCGAGCACTCACCACTCTGTATAATGGCATCCTCATACCACACACTTGAGAACTCATTATACGAGTGGTGACTTTTCAAGTCCAACATACATTACTTTGGAGAATGATATTACCAAAGGCCTAAAGGGTGGTGGTTTTGACATAACGCTATTTGTTGTGGATGGCATCATCCTCAGAAAGTGCGTCCACAAGACTCGAACCATCACCACTCCGTATAATGAGTTTCCGAGTGCATCCTCATACCACACTGGAGAACTCATTGTACGAGTGGTGACTTTTCAAGTCCCAAGAACAAGACTCTGGAGAACAATAGTACCCAAGGCCTAAAGGGTGGTTGTTTTGACATAAATTTTACTAAGTTTTCCCTGTCAATCGCAGTTATTCGGTTATTGCTTGGGCAACTTCACTCGCTAAGGGAGCTCAGGCAAACGTGAGCTATGGCCCACGATCCTCGACTACAACCGGGAATGTATTCAACTTCTTCAATGCATTGGGTGATGTGGCTTTTGCCTATGCTGGACACAATGTGGTGTTAGAAATTCAGGCAACAATTCCCTCAACTCCTGAGAAACCTTCAAAAGGGCCCATGTGGAAAGGAGTAATATTTGCATATATAATTGTTGCCATTTGTTATTTCCCAGTTGCATTCATTGGATATCACACTTTTGGGAATGCAGTAGATGACAATATTCTTCTTTCACTTGAAAAACCCAATTGGCTTATTGCATTGGCAAATATGTTTGTTGTTATTCATGTCATTGGAAGCTATCAGGTGATTTTTTATTTTTGAAAATTTCTTGTTCCGTTTTATTCGCAGAGTTATATTTTTCTGTTTTTATTCATCTTTATTTTTTCAAAACTCAGATATATGCCATGCCGGTGTTTGACATGATAGAGACTTGTCTTGTAAAGAAATATAAGTTTAAGCCTTCAACCAAGCTTCGGTTCACTACTCGTACCTTATATGTTGGTAAGAACGTCGTCTCTAGTCATAGGGATAGATTGAATATAGGTGTCTGTATAGAGAAAAAGGATTTATGGATTCATGCTTATTTTCCACTGCAGGAATTACAATGTTCATTGGCATGACATTCCCATTTTTTGGCGGTCTACTTGGATTCTTTGGTGGTTTTGCTTTGGCTCCAACAACATACTATGTGAGTGCTTTACTTCATTTTTCTTTTTCGTGTTTTTCTTAACTATCCCGGATTTTTTTATGGGACGGGCTATCACATAGCTCGACTGTCGAACCCTTTTGACACCTCTACTTTTCTTGTTCATATACAGCTACCCTGCATCATGTGGCTCATCATCAAAAAACCCAAAAGATTCAGCCTATCTTGGTGTATGAATTGGGTATGTTACATCAAATTATTATACGTTATTCCTTTTTTTCTTCCTTTAAGACTGGCAATAATTATTTTGAATTCTCGAATTTCAGACCTTCATCGTCTTAGGGGTTCTGTTGATGATTCTGGCACCCATTGGTGGATTGAGGAACATAATTTTGTCTGCAAGCAACTACAAATTCTACCAATGAGGTTTTATATCCGAAGATATAGGCTCGATTTCTCAGCATTTAAACGCGATCTTGTCATTTGTTCGATCTATTGTTACGCGTTCGACCATGTCAGTGACAACATAAATAAATCACACCAATGATTTCGTAGCTTCTGCAAGTTTTCTACAAACATGCAATGGATAGAAGTCTTGATGTCTTTTTAATAAGGTAGTGTTAGTAGTGTCGAGGTATTCAGTTTACATATTAATTAGATCATTTGTTTAGAATGTTGCAAATGTTCTTTTTCTTCATTACATCTTTAATTATTGCACTTTTGGTCAACTTTTTCCACGTATTTTCTATTAAAAGAATGTGTCGTCCTATGACATGAATGTAAACTAACAATTAATTGAACGATCAGTAGCTGATCTAAGAAGATGATCGACTGCACTTGAATTTGAACTGAAACACGATCCAGACTCTTACATGAGACAATAATGAAGGCAGGCTTGTCGGAAGAATAAGCATTGGCTACGTCCCCAAAAACAAAATTAAACTAATAAACAAAATTATTTTGGTTCAACCATGTCTTTTCTTTATTTGAACTGGATATTCGAAACTATGAGTTTACACAGAACGTCTTCTTTTCTTTGTCGTTTGTTACGTTGTCCGATGTAGCAAACCATTCAATTTGGTTATGAAAAAGACCATTTTCCATGTGCCCTCACCGTCCTTGACTTAGTCCAGTTTCGTTCAAAATCAACAATTATTTTTACACACATTTCATGAGATCCACAACTTTTATCAATTTCTTAACCAATCATTCCAATAACTTTTATCAAAATTTGCTAAAAATCTGGATTTTTAACAAACACAGAAGGACATAACTGAGTTAATTTTATCTGCAAAGACTGAACTTCCAGCGATTTCTCAAGCATGTCACAAACCCAAACTAATTTGTAATACCACTCTATTTGCTAATAACATTTAGTTAGAGTTGAATGCGAAAACCAATAGTTGAAAAGTACCCAGATTCAAGATACCATATGTCATGACCGTAAAAGTATCCATTGCAGCAGGAAAGAGAATTCTATAGACCTCACTTAACAAAAGCTTAATGTTAGAATAAATCATTTCAAAACTCACCTTAGGACTACATTATTTCAAGTCAAGAACTGCGTACAAATAAGAGGACGTGGAGGGGCGTCAAGTTTGGTTTTTACATCACCATACCTCCATCAATGGTAAATACCTGCATGCAATGACGAACCGTTAACAAGGGAAGGAAAAATTCCGAGCCATTTAGAACAAGTTAACAAGGGTGAGGAGAGTGAGAGTGCGAGCGAGTGCAAAGTTGTTAGTTAAAAGTCGAATATTAGGGTGTGTTTCGTAGATTGGAAGATGGATGGAAAGAAAGAGACATGGAAAATACCAATTTTTATCCTTTTACAGGCTGAAAGCTAATTTATCTCGTATTTGGTGTGATGGATGGAAAATAGACTACAAAATATTGTTTAGATCTTCTTTCTCCAACATTTTAACAATGGGAAACTAATTTTCCTTCTTCATTTGCCTTCCTACCAAAATTTCTCCTCCTACTGAACACAGCATTTGGCTAAATTAACTTGTGGATATTATAGCTTCTTTTGATAATGCTAAGCACATCATGACAGAAAGGAGCTCAAGAGACTGGAATGTTTCAAAAACCTGTCCAGTGATGTAACTGGCGGCAGGATTAAGGGCCAAGAATTCCACGAGTCCAGCAACTTCTTCAGGTTGGCCATACCTTCCTGTCAAGAATAACAGTATAATCAGTATAACAGTCAAATATCAATACATAATATACAATCTACTACGAGCCAGCTAAAATAGCCAAGTAGATTATATCGTAACGTAACTTATATGTGGAAATTAGTTGCAGTGCCAACTGACAACCATTCAGATAATTTGACTAATCACTTCGGATACTATAAAGTTGAATGCAATTTTGTGGATGTCACGTGATGAAAAGGGAAGCCAAATGGATAGATTAAGTCATGTATGATCAAATAGTTAAATAACTCACCCAATGGAATAGTCTCCAAAATCTTTTTCTCAATGTCTTCCCCAAGCTTAGCAGTCATATCTGATGCAATGAACCCAGGAGCAACAGCATTTACCTGTCAATTGAAGCCTCACTTAACTTTTAACTTCCACAAACTAAAATATTTGTAGATCAACTTTTGAAACTCTCACATTAATATTCCTGCTTGAATATTCCTTGGCAACTGATTTTGTAAAGCCAATTACACCAGCTTTTGCTGCACTGTAATTGGCTTGGCCCACATTCCCAACAAGGCCGACAACTGATGCTATATTGATAATCCTTCCCTGCAAAATCAGTTGACATTTACATTAGTCTTGAGACCAAGAAAATAAAACAAACTTATCCAGATTTTAGGTCTACATATAAATTCTAAACCTGAGTCCTGAGAATTCAGCATTCATAATTATTTAAGATGCTTGAATGTAGAGTAGTTGAACTTTGTAATTCAAGAAAGAGGAAAATTTGGTAATCCCCATTCACCAACCTTCAAAAACGAGGTCATGGGTCCTCAACCTATGAAACTCTGTGAAGAAGGGGTGGGGGTGGGGAATCTGCCAAACAAAAAAAGAAGAAAAAGAGAGAAAATATAGCCCATATTTGGTGTGGATTAAAATCAGATTTATAGTAGATTTTAATAGAGTTGATTCAAGGCCAGTCTAAGAATTTTAATGTCCTAAGCGACTAATTATCATGAGACCCTATAATTTTGTTTACTACCACTAAAAAACTTATCAAGGACCCTCTCTTAAGATTTAATCAACAACAATGTTTGGTGTACAATGATTTTGACAATATTGTTGACAACATGTCACGTAGCATGTTGTGATTAGACAATTTAAAAAACAAAACAATTCATCTTTTCAACCAACACTTTTTCGCCACAATCAACATTCAACAATGATGTGCAAAAACATAATACAAATAGATTAATTCTTTTATCAATTGTTCAACATTTTTATTCTGTTTTCTTTTGCAAGATTCATAATCAAATTTATAAGCAAAGAACAATAGGACTTGATTGATGAGTTCAAGATTCCCAAATATCACAAAGCGAAGGAATTCAACAATCACCATGCAAGAAATAACCAAACAACATTAAGTGCTTGTTTGTGCCCCATTATTTGTGTGTAATGTACTATAGAATAGTGATTGATGTTGAAATATATGATTAAAAAAGAAAGAAATGTTTTTGATTTACGTGTAATATTATTTTAATGAAGAATGTATAGTTGAAAATGAGTACTGTAAAAAAAATAATGTGGTAAAATGTGGTAGAAAGGAAGACAAACAAAGCCTAAGACTAGAAAGTAAGATTTAGAAGAGTTCATAAAATTTTAAAAAATTCCAATTATCTTCAGCAATATACTAATCTAACCAAGAGTTCTTAACCAAGTGCATAATTGATGCTTTCAATCCCAATTCCACAATTCCCGCGGAGGCAAAGAATGAAAGAAACCCTACTTTTGTTACCAAATTACGTAGGCAACTTAGAAACTAGAAACGGTAAATTCTAAAAAATAAATAAATAAAAATAAAAATAACTTGAAAGGAATTTCTCTCAATGGCCAAAAAATCTACAAGACAATCCTAAACTTGAAAAAATTACAATATCTTAAACTAATTTCTCATGTTTAAAGCACACATCCTTCATCAACTTTAGGGCTTTCGTGTGGTTTCCTTAGCGCAGAACAGTGAGTGCTCTCTTGCACTATAGCTTAGTTGCATTATTGTCTATGATAGCAGATGTTGCCCGTTGGAGACTCCGCCGATGGCTTGGATCGAATCAGACTCAAATACCCTAGTAGGAAGTCGAATCGTTGGACAGTTGGAAGGAGAATTCAAGAATAATTTCAAGAATTTTCTTTGAGGCCACTTGTTATGCAACTGATGTTATGTGAAATCAATTATATCTATTCAGTCCTTTTTTTAGCCAATCTTAAGTTTGAAGTCCTAGGCCCAAGTCAAAATTCTAAGGCCCAAGGCCTTTGCCTTGGTCACTTGGCCTCAGGGCCGGCCCTGAGTTGATGAAACTTGTGGTTGAAAAATTGTGAATCCCATGAAATGTATGGTTAAAATTAATTGTTGACTCTAACTCGAATTAAAATCTTAATTGTAATTTCCACCTAATAGGGGCATAATCTCTTCTTCGTCACCAACCCACTCCACTACCACCACCGACCAGCAAATTTCCCTACCATCCACGCCGTATTTTTCCCACCACAAGCACTCCCACAGTAGCCATGGAAATCATGCCCCAGGATGCTCAAACCTCTTCACAGTATCAAAAAAAGCATATGTTCTGTTCTACTCATAAATAGAAGACGAAGGTTGTTACGGTGATAATCACCAAAAATTTGGACGATTCTAACCAATGCAGTTATCTGCCCTAAACCACATAATTAGATTTGGACCTTTGTTCTTGGGTAATAAAATTGGCCTCAATTGTTTACCTAAAAAAGGCTGGTTGACTTGAAATCACAAGAAATCAGAAATCCATTGAAATCAAATAAGCAGGGATCCTCCATGGGATATACTTGTAGCCATATGCAGGCATTTAGCATATTAGGAGTTTTTCCCAGGAAGATATGAGGAACACTATCTGTTGCCTGGCAAAATGGGGTGGCGGCAAAAAAGAGAGGAGGTGGGGGTGTGCATGAAGACTAAATATATTGTTTTCCATTTCTTTTCCTTTTATTATTTATTTAAAGTCAGGGTATAATCATCATTTTAGCATCAAATCTGAATTTCAAACAGTTAAATTGATGGTTTCCGTAATGTGGGGATCTAAATTCACAGAGTTACATAGGTTGGGGACCCATATATACACAACCTCAAATGTTGGGGATTCCAACACTAATTTTCCTAAAGAAGAAGAAGAAGAACTGGAACTGTTTATACTCTCCCCAAAAGAAATACATAATATAAAAAAACTATAAGATGTAAAAAGATGGAGTTTTTGGCCAGTGACCTAAATTAAGACCAAGTTTGGCTAAGCTTAAAAAATAAGCAAAAGTTACTTTTTGTCACTTTATGTTTTCCAATATGTTTGGATAAGGTGCTTATTTTACTTTTAAGTAAACAACGTTTATTATTTTGAAAGTAACTCTTATGTCCCTCTCTGAATAAGTAATGTGCTAACTTCCAATTTTGATCAATAAAAAGATTTTTATTTTAAAAATTATAGTCAACAGTTTAAGCTTAAACGTGTTCTAACTAGCTCTAGATATAATAGAATACAAGATGGGACTACCTTTTTCTTCTTCATCATTAGTTTGGCAGCTGCCTGCAAAAAATTATGATCTCATATCAAATTATATGAATTTTTTAATTATCCATATCTTCATATAGGTAAGAGTTTGTAAAAACTCGCCTGTGTGCACAAGAACACCCCAGTAAGATTTAGATCAATAACCTCCTGCCACTGAGATGTCTTCATTCTCATCAATAAACCATCCCTTGTAATACCTGAAACCGTTTAAAAGTTTAAAAGACCATGAAGTTGAAAATTAGATATGCCACCATACAAGGTTGGACTTTTGGTACCTGCATTGTTAATCAAAACATCTACAGTTCCCCATGCATCGACTGCCTGCACATGTCCCAATAACATAAGATTAACACAATGACATGAAATGTGATGCAAAAGCTAAAAAATAAGAGATCTATACTGATTGCTTACAGTTTTAATCATTGACTCCACATCTGCTTCTTTCGATACATCCCCACCAAAAGTAAGAGCTTGTCCACCAAATGCCTCAATCTGTATGAAATATATAGTAGACAATTCCCAATCACTTTCTATTTTAAAATAAAATAAAAAATAAAAAACAGCGTCGTTGGTAGTTAAAAACATATTGCTAAATGCTGATAAGCTCTGTGTGACATTTTTACTTTCTTTGTTGCTTTTCCCATTTGGCATCCACCCCCCCCCCCCCCCCCCCTCCCCACAAAAATATACACAGCACCTACTTAACTTGAGCGGGGGTGTTGGACACGAGTGGTATCTAAATGTCAGACTTGAGGACACATCACTTGCAATAGTAGTAGCTAAAATTGTGAGGCTCTAAAGATGTTTTACATGAATAGAAAATTAGAAAATAGTCAAACTAATGCATTTTTAAGAAATAATAGATATCAAATAAAAAAAATAAAAAAGATGAAAGAGTACAGTAGTAGAATAGTATTTTGTATAGGTGTTAGAAAGTCACGTATGTTTCCAAAAGAGTCAAATCACAAGAACAACACCATAATTTAAGTGTTGGAGCAGCATAGAGCAATGAATGCTCTATATATGAAATTTTCAATCAGCAAAGCTCAAGTAAAATAGTAAATGGAAGGAATTGACATATATATCTACAAGTACTTACAGAATTTTGACAAGAATTGTTGCAACTTATAAGCAATGAAGGAAATATAATAGTATACTACTCATTGTTTAAGTCATATCAGTTGCATTACCTCTTTGCAGACATCTTCTGCCTGCTTTGATGACCTTGCATAATTCACCAGAACCTGCAATAGAATCAAAAATCACCTTTTGCAAAAGGAAAGGTAAAGTGGAAGTCAATCCATACTCTTGTAAATGGTGTTTATATAAGTTCACTATTTTATTAAACTAAAGGGTTACAATAAATCAAAGGAGTCTTCAGTGACTGTAATAATGGACAAAACCCCAAAAAGCTTCAACAATACCATCTCTAATTCATTTTACAACTAGATATAGAACATAAGAACATAGATTAATATTGTTAGTACTCATCTTATCTTTAGGGACTGCACTACTATACGAGCAACAGGTGCCACTCAACTCAAATGCTAAAAAACTATTATGCACACAACTGCAATATTTAAGGCCTACTAGTGTGTATCCTAAATGGAACCCTTGATTGCTGATAAGATTCAGAATAGACCTTACAACCAGCCTTTCCCAGAGCCAAAGCAATTGCTTTGCCAATTCCTCGGGAGGCCCCTGTGATAATAACTATAGGAGCCTCTGCTTTTTGCACTGCTTCAGCACTTTGTTGTTCAATGGTGGCAACCTGTGCTCTTACTCCTGGCCATACCAATAAATTAAAAAGAAGCAATACCAAAAGGCAGATGAGCCACAATAAAATCAAATTGTGTCGTATCAAACTAATCAAAGTTCTTTAAATCTATGACTTGAAGTAATTTCTAGTAGTATTTCAAGGCATATTAGTTTAGAAAAAGAAAATTGGGTATGTTATACGCACAGATATGATTCCTTTAAATACACATTGAAAATTTAAGCCATGGGATACGAGAATAAGAATGTAAGGGATATTCATACAGATAAAGTATGAATGAGAACAAAAGGTTCAGGGTCAGAAAGACATCTTATGTAGGAGTTACTTCTAGATGCGTTAATATATAATTTAAATCACAAGAATCATAATATTTGTAACATGATCAAGAATTTTATGGATATGGAACCCATTTGCAACACATTTTGACAAAATCTAGAGTGTGATTTGTAACTTTATGATATTTTTTCTTCAACGATTTTCAACATTATGAAGAAGCATGAGATGCCACCATTATGAAGAAGCATGAGATGCTTTAGGTCAGATTTAAGTATTTAGGAAAAAGAACAGTGTAAAAAAGCTCCGTTGGATTAAAGTGGTTTATTATCACGTGTAAACATCTAAAATGCATATAAATAATGAACAAAGAGAAAGAATTTAAATACGTGAGAATATTTAAATCCCAAGAATACTGATGAAAAGCTAAACGTAACCAAATGAAGTATTATTCATCGAGAATAATCAATTGTGCAAGCTCCACAATACATAACGATGAGAATAATGCAAGTATTTACTAGCTAATCAAAGCGAAAATTTTACTAAAATAAACTGGCTTTTAGGGATTTAACATAAAGCATATCAAGACTTAATTTTTTTATTTAAAATTTTCCACCAGCATTAGATTTTAGATACTAATTAATTAATTGGAATAAACCCCAATCTATACAGCAGAAATGATTGACCTTCCAATTACAGGCACTTCTATACATCTTAAATACCTGAGGAAGAGAGAGAGGTAAGGGGTCTGCATTGCATGTTAAAGGAGCGTGAAAGTTGAAACTGAGACGAGAATTGCCGGAGATGAGCCATCTTCCGGCACGTTTTATCGGAAACTGCGGCGGAATTGAAGGCGGCGGCGGCCGATCCGGCGATTGAGGAAGCCATATTGAGTCCCAAGCGTATCGAAAATAGAAGTAAACGAGAGGAAACGAGAGTCGCCACAGGGAAGATACAGAGAAAATGTTCGCAAAAATTGAACTGTAATGACTAAAAACTTTGCTTTGGAATTTCCGGAGGCTCACTATGAGCGTTGGCGATGAGAACGAAGTCTTTTCTTAGTGTGGACTAAACTATCGAATTGTGTTACTTTAGTCCTCAAATATTTTTTAAGCATAGACAGTCACAAAATTTGTTTAAATTGTTATTTTTGAGTCACTCTTGACGTGTTCATGTCTCATGGCGCTCTTTTTATGAGGAAATGGTTTGGTGAGGTGGCAGAAATACAATCACAGATTCACAACATATTGGCTTATGCAACAGCAAAG